ATACACGACTGTTATGGAATTAGGCTCCCAAAACCATAATAGGGACGGTCTTTTGGGACCTAATTCCATAAGGGTAGTGTATATGGAACTTCCGGGATACTTGGAGTTTTGGCTCAGGGCTTGATGCACAGAGCACGAAACCCAACAATCCAATGCTGCTGCGCGTTTTGAAAAGTTGCTCACCCCCAAAACGTGAGCTGTCCTTGTGCCTCAAGTCCGTAACATACCTCGCCCAAAGGCTCCCGAGTAGCTGCATAATTTGTAGCAATTATAACTGTAGCAGGAATTACTGTTGATGTTCGGAGAAGCATCCCCCATATGGGTGCTTTCGCTTCTTTGGGTCAAGAATTCCGAGTCGCGCCAGGGCTTCTCCATGCTTCCAAAGCTGATACTTGGAGGTTCAGGGGACTTAGTAACTAGGGTCACAGGTACCTTTAAAAGTATTGGAGTTACAGGTGTAACTTTAGCTACCTTACTAACATCGCTATGAATGAGTCCCCCGACCCTCTAAGTAGAACTTGGATTCCAGTCCATAGCAGTTTACCGCTTCGGGATTTTGTTGTACATGAAGGATCATGGGACTTAGTAGGTAGGCCTGATGTAGGTAGAACTACAGTTACCATACCTAGAATGAAACCCTTCTCAATCTGTGAACCGTTTTAAAACCCTGCAGAAGATGTTTTGATAACTTAACTTACTACATAAGTCCCCTGATCTTTGGCGCAGGGTTAGCGCCGGGAACAAGGAAGGGTTTTTGGCCTCAAGCTGCAGCGAACATACCCTTAAACCCCTAAGCCCCCAACCCTGAAACCCCTCAACCGTGAACTTGGAGGGTCGGCGGACTTAGTAACTGGTTGCTTTAGGGACTTATAAGTATCCTAACCCCAATTAGGGTCCTTTTTAGGGTACTTATAAGTCTACTTACTACCTACTTACTAAGTCCCCCGACCCTCCAAGAACCCACAAGGGTTTCAGGTTTCCGGCTTCTGGGGGTTTGTAGTGTGAACCCTGATCCCGGAGCCCTGATATGAACGCCCGAAAACTTACATTGTCTATCTTCCATCATTCCTTAGGGTTCCCGGTTACGATGATAATTACACTATAAACTTTCTATCATTGCCCTCTACTATTTCTTACGGCCTTAGGGCTAGTCATATTCCGTGGGCTTCCATGCTATAATCCCTATCACTACAATATACTCAAGAACGTTGGTCTAGCTGCTATCAAGTCCCCTAAATTATTTCGAGAGTTTCGGGACATAAAACCGGCTGACCCAGCAAGCTCATCACCCGATTAATCAAGTGGATCTTTGATATGATGCCGGCCGTGGTAAGGCTGGTTGGCTGATTGCTGCCGTCCAGGACCGGAATCAAGCGATACCATGCAGGTTTGAGTAGCTGGCAACCTACAGACCGTTATAGTCCCCGTATGACGGTATAGCAAACTCATACAAACTCTTGTGGTGACCCTTCTAGTAGCCCTAAACCCTAAACCCTAAATTCTCATAGTACTCCTTGGACGTTTCAGTATCCGTATACCTGGGCCTCGGCTTTCAGCAAGTATTGTGCGAGGCTGCAAGAGGTTTAGGGTTTAGGGGTTTAGGATTTGGGGTTAAGGGTTTAGGGATGAGGGTTTCGGAGCAGACAAAAAAGGGCGCCAGGTAAATTTTTGTGCTACCTGCGGAACCCTATTCTACAAACTGGCTTTTGTTTGTAACCAGGCCCTCCAGAATCCCTCTTTTTAAGGAGTGTGCCTTAAGTTATTGTAGGATCCCAAATATGATTCAAGGCATATTCGTGCATTCAGGGGTTTCGGAAGGTTCGGGTATATTCAGCGGAGACTCAAAACCCACAACTCCGAGACAGTTTTTTTTTTTCAGCACGGCTATTGTTTGTGTTTGTGGTTTGGGTTTGACTATGATTTCTTTTAAGATCGCGCTCCCTTCTTTCCTTTTTTGTGGTGTTAGGTGTCATATCATATAAAGCTGCACCAGTACCCTAAACCTTAAATCCTAAAACCCTAAACCCCTAAACCCTAAACCAATACCAGAAATCTGGGTTGCAGGGGATCCTCGTCATGAGTCTAAGTGTTCCCACAGACTCCAATATCCCTTAGTTAAGGAATATTCCTTAATTCAGGGATATTGGGGTCTTGTGGTGTTCTTGCTTTCCTTCAATCGGGAATGAGGTCGAACAGATCTAGTTCGCTTGCCGTAGAGGCCTGTACCCAGTTACAGTAGAAGCCATTAAGTTTAGGGTTTAGGGTTTAGGGTTTTTAGGGTTTTTATAAGATTTTTGGGGTTTAGGGTTTAGGTTTCAGCGGGGGCCGAGGATGATTTGTGCTGGATGTCTCTCTATACGTCATATAGAGCATATGGGTATGAGGACAGTGGTGTTCCCTTCCGATGTCCGAGCTCCTTGTGCTAAGACGAAAAGGTGGTGGTGGTTTACAGAAGCCTACACACACCTAAACCCTAAACCCTAATCCTTAAACCCTAAACGCTAAACCCTAAACCCTAATCCCTAAACCCTAAACCCTAATCCCTAAAGCATGTTAGTTGGTAGTATTCCTTCAGGTTTCTTGTTACAGCTAAACACGAGGGCTCCGGTTACCTAAAATAGTAGGTTACCGGGGTACAAAATGTATGGGTGGTTGTCAAAATTGGGATCCCTTTTTGGGGTTCCTAATATAGTGCGGCACCTAATATTTAAAATTTAGGGTACCCCAAAAGGGGCCATAATTTTGACAACTACCAACATTTTCAGTAACCTTCTGTTCTCAAGTAGAAATATGTATGCACAAGGAAGTCAAAAGCCCCAAACCCTAATCCCGAAACCCTGGAACTCAGGCGTTTAGGGTAAACCCTCTGGTTTAGGCACCGGGTTAGGGCTAAACCCCAACCCCTGGCAGGTGTAGGGTTTAGGGGTCGGGGTTTGGGTTTCGGATGTAATATGGAATCCTAAGTAATTACCTCATCGTTTTGACCTTAACCCTATTCTAAATATTGCGGACCGCTAATATAGCAACTATCAGGATCCCAAATAAGGTATCCCTCATTTTCGGAAACTCGCAAATCCCTATTTTACGGTTTAAGCGTTCGGAGCCAGGCGGCGTGATGACGACGGGAGCAGCACTACAGCTGGCTAGGAGTGATCAGAGACTCAGGGTTCCTTTTTTGGGGTTTAAGGTACAATGCTTGAATACTTTTTTGGTACCTGTTCCTTAAAGGAACCATTATGAAATACAAGTCTATACTTTTTTTCTCCCTGGTTACTTCAAAGTCCAGTTTGGGGTTTAGGGTAGATTCAGGGTTGATTTTTCGGGTGTAGGGTTTCGAATCAGGTTTGGGGTTTCGGGCGTTAGGCTATAGGACTCTTACCACATAAGCCTTAAATGATTTAAGGCTCGTATCCCACACAGGGTTCAGAGCATAAGATATAGAGCCCCGCATTTTGTCAGGGTCCTTGGGTCGTTCGTTCATGAAAGGGTTCATGCGACATGTGGAGCACTGTCAGCGTAGCCCGTTTCGAGGTCCCTTAAATCCTAAACCATAAACTTACCCGAAACCCCTAAACTCAAAAACCACAAAAAACATCGGGACTGGGTGTATAATGCTTTGTTTATCTTTTGAGAAGGACCACCCTTAAAATCGCAGAAAATCATCTCTTGTCGTGCCTGTATGGGTAGTTCTTTAGATTGAATGGCGTCCTTTCGGAGACTTAAAAGGGGATCCTCGGTTAGAGTAGCATAATATGCAGGAAAACCCAGCTGGAAGCATGACGGCCCCCCCCCCCGAATCCTACTTGGAGGAACAGGGGACTTAGTACGTAGAGTTTTAAGTGCCTTCATTGGTGCTAGAAGTAGCAACAAGTATAGTTGCTTGTTCATAACCCTACTTACTAAGTCCCCTGATCCTCTAAGTAGACCCTAAGCCCTAAACCCTATAGATCCCTTTAAGGAGCCCTACAGATCCCTTTTATGGAGCTCTTTAAGGAACCCTAAGTAGCCCAGCGAAGTTGGAACCGTCCTAGGCTTCCGAGCCTTGATGCTTCAGGTGCTCGGGGTTGCTATCGTCGGATCCTTGTTTGAGGTTTGGGTTTTTGGTTTAGGGTTTTGTGTTTAGGGTTTTGGGTTTAGGGTTTAGGGTTTAGGGTTTTGGGTTTAGGGTTTTGGGTTTAGGGTTGCATTGTTCTCCCGCGGGTTCTCTCGTTGTTGTTTATTCTACAGGGGCCTCACCATAAAGTGGTTCATCAACCAAGTTGCTTCAGTCCAGTGTCTAGGGAGAGTTTACGGTTGGCGGCCTCACACGGGTTTTCATGTTTTAGGTAGCCCCCCCCCCCCAGGCTGCATAATCGGAATGTAGAGGGACCTTGGTATAATTGGTTCTTTTGCAATTCTCCGCGCTGGTCACTGCGAGTGGCCCAAAAGACAAATAGGGCAGCAAGCATAAGAATCTGATATCCAGGCTTTTGATCAATCCCTCACATGCAGGGTCTCATGCCCCACAAAATACTTCTTGCCGGTGTTCGAGTGCTTGCCGTTTGGCGCCTAAACCTTGTTAAAACCTAAACTTACCTGTAACCAAACCTGCAAGCCCCGAACCCCCGGTCCAAGCCTCAAAAGCCAACCCTCCCTGCACCGTAACAACGAGTTTAATGCCACTGTAGGTTCGTCTTAATATAGAAGCGAGAGTAACACTGGCAATGACACTGGTGCTTGCAATCTGTTTGTGTTTTCAAAAATGCTTCGAACTTGACATTAGGCAGGATCCTTAAGCACAGTGTTCATCATCGTCACCATTTCAGCCTTAGCATCAGCATCACCACAAAAATTGGCAGGGCTAGCAATGGCTGTCTATGTTGTCATAGCCCATACAAGCTCAACTATTGCGTGCGATCGCCAACAGCAACACCCTATATAGGCCTGAAATGCTACCCGCTGCATTTGGCTCTTAGTAGACCAAGTTTTGATTCCGCCGTCCCTTTGCCGTGCCTTTGACCATGAGCCTTTCTAGAATGATGCGAGCTCCTTGGCTGACATCTGGCAGTCAATGTAGTACCTTTATTCCCTTTTTGTAGGCCCAGGTTCCTTATAAAGTTACCCAATACCAACAAGGGAGCTCTTTTTATTCCTAGGCCACTGGGCATCCTAGTAGTTCTCCCAGGTTGTATTAAACCCTACAAACCCTAAACCATGGTTTCGGGTTTTGGGCGTCTCCGATCGCTGCTTCTTGCTCCAGGATTTGGGGTTTGGGCTTGTGATTAGTGTTTAGGGTTTAGGAGCTTTTTGGGACTCTCTTGGTACCCCCACAGCCCTGAACCCTAAACCCCTGTTGGAGGGTCGGGGCTTACTCGGACCCCCGACCCTCCGAAGAAACCCTCAACCCTAAACCCTATAAAGCCTACTATAGGGGCCTAAACAATTACCAATATTTCTAGGGGTTTCCTTATTAAAATATTTAATTTAGAGTATAAGATACCCCAAAACCATATTCTATTTGTCAAGGCCCATACATTATAGAAACCTACCATAGGTTAAAAATGATTACAGGAACCCTATTCAAAGTAATAAGGCCACTATACATCTCAGAGATTCCAATATCCCTTGTCTAAGGAATACTCCTTAAACATATGTGGGGTTCTTTCTATAGTTTAATAAGGGATATTCATTAATTAATTAAGGGATACTGGAAAGTCTGAGAACAACAGTTATGAAGGCTAACGCCAACAGACCCAGACCCCATTATACTTTTGGTATAATGAGGCCCCCAAAACCCTATTCTAATTGTTAAGGCCCCTACACCAGGCCCTAAACCCTAAAGCTGAAACTCAGCGTAGTCCCAACTGACCCCAAAAGGCGCCCCTGGCGGCGGCGCGGGTGGCCTCTCGGCCTTTCCTGCGGGAGGCGCGACGCAGCTTCCTCAGCGCGCCGCTTGGGGGCAAGAGTCCTAGGACTTAAGAGCTTTGAGGCTTTGAGGTTCAAGCAGCAGCGACGGGCTTTTGATCCTTCAAAACAGAATATATGGTATATTGTCTGCAACGGAGGGTGCTCCGAAACCATACTTAGAGGACCATGAGACTTAGTAAGTGGGGTTAAAAGTACCTTGATTAAGTAAGGTTAGAAGTAGATATAACTATAAGTTACCTTACTTATAACCCTACTTACTAAGTCCCATGATCCTCCAATTTCGTTCAAAGATTCCCGTAAGGGTGGCTTAAAGGTTTAGGCTTTCGGGTTTCTTTCAAGAGTCTCCGGCCTTTGGAGTTTCTTTTTAAGGGTCCCTAAAACAGCGTTTTCGGGTTTCTTTCAAGGGTTCCTATAGGGTGTTTTATACTTAGGCCTTTAAGGGGACCCTACAGGTACCTTAAGGCATAAGTATACAATACTATATGCATACATGGAGCCTTTGTTAAACGCCCTAAACCCTAAACCCTAAACCGTTTCCTTCCTAGGTTCCCTGAAGGGATCTTTCTGGTTCGGGGCTTTAAGGCTTTCGGGTTTAGGGGTTTCGGGGATTGTGGATTCGGGCTGGGGGGTTTGGGCCGTTGTTTGGTGTTTCTACGTTTCGACAGTTTCTTATGAGAGTTTATAGATGTGTTTTTTCGAGCTTGCTTCGCAAGGTTTCAACACCGTAACCCTCAAACTTGAAGCCCCTAAACCCCTTAAACCCTAAACTCTTAATCCCCTAAACCGTAGACCTTAAAAGCCTAAACCCTAAACCTTAAACTCGAAACTTTAAACCCCAAACCTTAAAACCCAATTCAAACCCTAAACCCTATAAACCCTAAACCCTAAGCCTTTCGCAAAAGAACAGGCCCTAAACCCTCAAAATGGAAGCCCTTGAACCGGAGACAAACATCTGTACACCCGAGAAGCTTCAAGGACCTGAATCAGCAACTCTAATGTAGGGTTTAGGGTTTAGGGATTAGAATAGTTTTTTTTTGGGGGGGGCCATCATACTATAGTTATATTACGGAGCCGCCAAAATGGTATTGGTAATGATTTAGGCCCCTATAGTAACTCCGGAAAGCCTCCACCACAAACATTAAAACCGAAGGGTTTGGGATTTAGAGTCCAGCATATGAGGGTCGAGGGTTTCAGGGTTTCTCTGGTTTTACTGAGTGTAGGGTTTAGGGCTTAGGATTCTAACCCCTGCCCCAAGCCGTCAACGCAGAAAAACGTAAAGCGCCGCCGCGCTTCCCAGGGCTTCCGTTCGCCTGGCCGTGCAGGGCGACGTGATCGGTATCGACCTGGGAAGCTGGGCCTCAACTTTATTGCAGTTAAACTCCAAGCGTTTTTATTTTTGGCTTTCACAGGCGCTCAAGTCTCAACAGTTTGTTTATTTCGTTTTGGGTTATGGGTTTTAGTGTTCAGGGTTTGGTTTTTCGCAAGGATTCTTCAGCGGGCTTATACAGGCTTTATACGGAGTCTATATACGCATCATTGTACGTATTCCTTATGTGTCTGTGATTTTTTTTATATTTCGGAATGTTGTACAGGCTTTATGACCGGCAACTCGGGGTTGGGGACCCCCCCAGCATTCCCACGACTCAACACCAAAGCCGAACACCTAAACCCTAACGTGCCCTAAACCCTAAACCCTAACCTGGCCCTGAATCCCTACAGTCTTAAATCGCTAAGCCCGTTATCAAGTTAGTGCAGTAAACCATTGATGCGTTTGAACCATCTTGAAAAACTAGACTCTCGAATCCCTGGGCCCGACTTAGAGGATCATGGTTCTCTTTAAGGGGTCTATAGGGGTACTATAAGGGTTTAGGGTTTAGGGTCTACTTAGAGGACAAGGGACTTATGGAGTAGTGTTAGAAGTGAGGTAACTGTAGCCACATCTACCTTAGGACCCGAAGTAAGGTACGTATATCCCCACTTACTCTCCCTAAACCCCTAAAGCCCTATGTAAAGAACGCTTCAAGGATCCTGTAAAGGAGCCACGATCCTCTGAGTAAGCCCTTAGCAACCTCACCCTACGGCGGTTGATGATATAGATCCGGTATTACTCACATAACGAGGAATATACCATAGTTCCCATAGGTTTAAGGGTTTAGGGTTTAGGGTTTAGGGTAGTGTCATTAAGGTAATGCGGGATGTAGATCACCAACCGTAAGTCCCAGGATCCTGCAGGTAGATCCTAAACCCTAAACCCCTATAGATCCCTTAACGGGAAACATGAACCCCCTACGCACTAAGTCCCATGATCCTTAGAACCCTAAGCCTCATAATTCCTTTATAGAACCCTTTAAGGAACCCTTTAAAGAGCTCTTTAAGGAATTTGAACCCTAAACCCTAAACCCTGAACCCAAAACCCAAAACCCTAAACCCTAAACCCCATTAGAAAAGCTCCAAGTATCTGAGGCACGACCAATTCTTGCGTGGCGGTCATGGAGGGCTCGACGCCCAAGGCACGGGGAGCTTTTGGGTCTCTACAGTAAAGGTTACCATAAGGGTCACTATAGGCTGCTATAAGGGTTACCAAAAGGGTTCTAGTGATGCTTATGATAACCCAAAAGGGTTATCATAAGGATCACTATTTTACTAAAAGGGCTACTAAGGTTTAGGGGTTTAGGGTCAAAAGGCAGCGATTAGGGTTACCATAAGGAGGCCCCTATAGTACTCGATCATGTCGTAGCTATCCGTTTGCATCCCTTCTGTCTCTTCTGGGGCTTCAAGTCAAACTTGCTGCAAGAACTTGGCGTTCTTCTGGTTGGCTCTTGGGACTTTAACTCTTTGGGTTTCTACACGGGTTTAGGGTTTAGGGTTTAGGGTTTTAGGAGGGGTTCAGAAGTCAGGCAAGTCTAGTTTGATGCAAGCACATGAGTAATGCTGTAAGGCTTCCTCTCTGGCAGGCACTGAAACAACGGGCTCTATCCGGGATTAGCGGTACTAGTAGAAGTACATTATACAGCAAAACCTGAAACCCTGAAAATAAAGCCTAAACCCCTAAACCTTCGTAGCCCTTATAGTCATATAGTGACTCTTATCATAACCTTATAGTAGCCTACAGTGACCCTTATGGTAACCCTTACTGTAGAGACCCAAATTTGGCTTCAGGTGGGGGGTCGGAGTTTAGTTTTGAAGTGTGGAACCCCCCCTGTAAGCCCGAAGCCCAAACCCTAAACCGGTTTAGGGTTTAGGGTTTAGGGTTTCCTTCAATCCCAAAACCCTAAGCCCCAACCCTAAGTCTTTAACCCTATAAGCCCCATACCCGAAAACCCGAGACCCTAAACCCTAAATCCCTACAAACTCTAAGCCCTCATAGCCCTGAGCTGCGAAGCCCGAAACCCAAGTTTATCCTCCAGAGATACAGCACGGTTTAGGGGTTTAGGTTTTAGGGTTTATATCGATGTCGGAAGCATGATGATTATACTTACTTTGAGAAACAGTGATAATAGCAAATAACCAGAATACAATGAAGACTCGTAATAACAGCAACGGTAGAGATGATAAGAATGCATTACATCTTACGTTATTTCATTCACTACCTCCGAAACCCTATTCTTGTTACTCCGGGCCGTATACTATAGCACATATCCTAATGTTGAGGACCCCAAACATGTTAGGAGCCTTTGCGTAGTGTTTAGGCTGGTTTTGAAATGGCAAGATCCCTCTACACCATCAATGAACCCCTTTCCCTAATCCCTAAACTTAAAACCCTAACCCTAAGCCGTAAGCTGGAAAGCCTAACCGCCTCAACCCTATACCCTCAAAGGAACCCTAAAAAGGAACCCTGACGCAGGTGATCGAGAATGCTGAGGGCATGAGAACGACGCCATCCTTTGTCGGCTTCACGGAAAGCACGGAAGGGGCTCTAAATCTACGGTTTTCGGTCAACGGCTTGGGGCTTCGGGCTGCATAATAGGGGATGATATATGTATGTACATATTATGTTCAATATAAGATGATATTAGACAATATTATATTGCTGGTAATACATAAATATAAATATATGCTACCCCCCCCCTCCCGAATCCGCGCTTTGACTGTTTGTGCTCTACTGTGTCCTATTAAAATGTTATCCAACCCAAACCTCTAACCGACCCCAACCCCAAAGCCACAGACTCCACTCGCCGCGGCATCACCTGAGCTGGGCGGGAGGTTTTCAAAACAAAGTACGAAGACACCCTACACACCAACAAAAATAACTTTAGTTCCGATCCCATGGCCGCTTGTTTTTGCGCGAGGATGCCCCGTCAGTGAGCTCGCTTGGCGAGTTCGTCTAGGAGCAAGGCGTACTCCAACTGTGTGAGACGTCGTTCATCGTCATCGTCGTCGTACGTGAAGCAGTTGCCCTTGCAGCGCCAAACCACTGTTCCTTATGCAAGACCAAGACTTTGAGCTCAGCAGTGATGTTTCTGCTTACAGTACTACGATATACTAACCGCGACCAGGATTCCGTTCGGAAGATTTACATAGCGGCGAGGCCACTCAACTGGAGCTTTAGGTACAACCATTGGGTTCACGGGCACAACACCCAAGACTAACTTGAGGATATCATCTGCGACACATACCGGGAGATGCTGCCATATCACCACATCAAAGGACCAAGTCTCCATGGCGTCTGCTTTGCAGGGACGATCTCCGACTCGACCTGTTCCTACGATAGCGTTCTTGAGTTGCAGCAGCTTCGTGCAGTCTAACGGTTCGATTGCTTCTTCGGGCACTGAGGGAGCGTTTCTCCACTGGAAGATCAGACAAGATACCAACGTACAGCTATTCAACCAGAAAACCGAATTACTGCTCCACATCAAAATGAACCCAAATACATTTCAAACGGCTACATAACCAATTTTTTTCCGGCCATGGGTCCAGAACTTGAGCCAGGACCTTTTCTAATTGCAGCTGAGTCGCTGTGTAACACCACCGCCAGAAAAGACTGAACAAGAACGCTTGTAAGTATGGTGTTCATGCAAGATAAGTGATAGGGCAGAGCTGCCGTATCACTTGAACATGCGTGACACGAACGACTGCATGTGTATACATTATTTGTCGTTACCTACACGCACACACATACCACACGTGTTGTCTTCATGTGTTGCGAGTGATAAGGCAGAGCAGCCGTATCACTTGTGACACAAAGGACTGCATGTGTATAAACTACTTTTTTGATATATAAATTCATGCATATACCGCACGTGTCTTCATGGTCTGGTTACGTACACGCACGCACATACCACACGTGTTGTCTTCATGTGTTGTGAGTGATAGGGCAGAGCAGCCGTATCACTTGAGACACAAAGGACTGCATGTGTATACACTGCTCTTTTGGTATGTAAACTCATACATATACCGCACGTGTTGTCTTCATGTGCTGTGAGTGATAGGGCAGAGCTGCCGTATCACTTGGGTGCGAGTGACACAAACGACTGCATGTGTGTGTGTGAGAGAGATTGTGTGTGTGTGTGCCGCATGCCTGCACATGATTGACAACATAGCTCATACCAGATGCACTTGCAGGGAGAATGCACGGACGTTTTCGTTTACATCGTTTCATGGGATTGCGAAAAAACAGTTAAAGCAAGACAACCAGCAGCGACGATTCTACAGCACAGTACAGCAGTTACAAGCGAACGAAACGATGTTTTCGAACCACCAGATGCAGCAGAGAAGGGCGGTCTGAGGGAGCTAGTCGCTCGAAAGGTGCCTCACGCGAGCGAAGATCAGAGTCGTTGTCATTGTAGACAGACTTACTTCATAAACTTGCGCATGTTATCAGCGCACAGTTCGCCAAACTTAAGCCATTGGTCCTCATTACGGTACCAATACTCATATTGAGCAGACCTCAGTTTGGCACATAGCTGTCTGCTACCAGCCTTGGTGTGCTGGTTCACTCTGACCCGGTCCTTCAAAAACCTCCAACAACGATCGATAATCTGTGTTCCAGACTTCACAACGATCTTTTTGTTGGACTTAGGGATCTTGTGGGTCACGACCTTGACATACTTCGGGTTCTGCCAGATGAACTTGCCGTTGCGCTTCACGCGCTTTTTGGCATGAACTACCTTGTCGTGAATGACACCGTCGATCTTGGCCTTGTAGGACCGGGCCGCATCCGTGTGGAGGACAACCTTGCGGTCCTTGAGAAGCTTCGTTCCTAGGGTCTTCCACTCGGTGCGCCTGATTGCTCCTGGCCCTGGTGCTCGCTTGACAGTGAGTTTCGGCTTCAACCTGGAGAGTATGAGCGTTTCAGGGCGGCCTCGCTGGATTACCCCCGCCCACTGTTCCCACATGGTCGTGGTTTTGTTGTTCTTCACGAGGTGCTTGAAGTCCACATCCTGGGAAATATCCCTTCTGTCGAATGTAGCTTCATCCTTGCATGTATTTGTTGAGTGTCTGAGAGCATTGTTTGTTTATGTCTTACTTCCGAAGCTTTATCTCTGAGATTCCACAATCTTTATTCGAAATACACCAAAGCCAGACAACATGATGTAGACGACAAGTTGCTGCTTCCACATCTTTCCAGGTTTTGCCGTCGCCAAACACGATGTTTTTCTCCTGCTTTTCCACGAATGCTTTACGAAGGTCGCAAATCCTCGTCTCCATGTCTTCGATAGCCTTGTGGTTCACATTCAAGAGGACGTGGATGGCTGGATGTGGTACGCGTAGCAGTTTAAGTAGCAGAAGAGATGCTTGTATCTGGAGGCCCCGTGAAGATGAACCCGTTCCTTGGGTGAATACCGGATGCAAGTGGTGAGGGCTCACATACTTGTGGCAATGGCGGGAGCTGCACCGATGTTTGTACAAAGAGGTGCGCTTTTCCACACATAGGTCGGACAAGATGCCAACCTGACAGTGAGGGCACGTCTTCCCTTTCCACTTCGGCAAAATCTTGTCCGCCACGAGCATAGTGATAATCTTCTTGTCGCTGGCCATGAGGAGCTGAGGAAGACTGCGTTGCCACTTGATCTGGTCCTTGCGTTGTCCGCGTGGACCAACAAGGAGTTGCTCTCGGACATACGGTGTGTCCTTCCACAACTTGTCCTTCTTGATGGCAGGCTTCTTCTGTGCAGCACGGAATTTGCCCTTCTTGTGGATGATGGGTTGCTTGCACACCTTTCCCATGGGTGGACAAAGCTAGAAGAAAACGGACTGGCTCTTGAGATGCTGCAAGACTCAGAAGCAGAATGCAGATTTGTTGGGAAGCAACGTGTCTTGATACTAAGCCACGATGTCAGACAAGACTGTGCTGCACAATGGAGCATGTTGATTCAAGTGCATACTGTTCGCAAGGATTTTTTCTGTCTGTGCAAGGCTGCGATCGGAGATTGACTCGTATGTATACGTGTTCTCTGAACAAAAAGGCAGTTATGTAATCATGCATAGTCACGGCAAGAATCTCGTGTAGTTACATGAAGATACCCGTTGTGCAAGAACACGATACTCAAAATACGAGTGTCACATCGTTGTCGACTGCACGATGGCTGTGAGATTAGCACTCAGATGTCTCAGATGTTGTTCTTGACTCTCAGATGTGCTGGATGCTGGGTTTCACTGGTGGTCGTCCTTCGCGAGTTCCTCCGCGACCAAAGCGTCGAGCTCTTGTGATAGATCATCCATAGGATCGCGGATAGGCGACGCAATGTCCATCTCACTGCCGGGACTGGAAGGTGGAGGATTTGGAATGTGAGGGCCACGCGGATCGGCAGAAGTTGCAGATGTCTTTGGCGATGGGACCTTCGATTTCGGAGAAGGCCACGGAGATGAAGACCTGGGCTTTGCACATGCCGCAGAAGATGGCGAAAGGTCGAGTTGTACATCTGACTTTTGAAGAATAGATGCAGTCACCGGTCGGGGAGATGCTTTGGGGGATGCCTTTGACGGAGATGCAGCTGATGATGAGTCTGAGATGTTAATCTGCAGAGGTCTGTTGCCAGATGATCTTTTTAAGTTTGCAAACATTGCCTTGACGTCCTCCGGCTCTTTTTTTATGGTGACCTTAGTACAAGAAAAGCACACAACCATAAGAGAAAACAAAAAAAACAATCATAGTAAAAAACCTAAAACCTCAAACCCTCACCATACCAGCCTCAGCCGAGAAACGCTTGGAGCAGACATCTGGGGATTGAGGTCTACTGCATGAGATTCCTGCTTCGGTTTATCTTCGTCATGGTGGTGCTCGTCATGACTGGTCTCGTTGGTGAGCAGAGCATTGGAAGACCGCACAGATTTGAGGCGCTTGGCAGGGAGGCTAGCTGGAGCATCTTGGCAGAGGTCGGGATAGAAGACGGTCGTGGCGTCGATGTTGGCGAGCTCAGGACGGCACTCACGCACAACTTTTTTACCAGAGAAGTCCTTTTGCATAACTGTGTAACACCGGCCAACCGCTTCACCGTCGAGGGCGGCTTGCAACAAGTTGAGCGACCATTGTAAGTTGACGCTGTGGTTGGGCGGCAGCTTGGAGAGATTACCCTTCTTGTAGGCGTCGAAGATTGGCCTGGCGCACGGCGACACCATGCCGAGGTCATCGGAAGGCCAAGCATGCCGTTTGACTGGTGCTTGCTGTGTGCCTGGAGGACGAACATAGATGCCCATGTCTGTGAACACGACGATGGCAGACCGCTTGAAAACGGCAATCAGATCTTCATCATTGAAGTCTTTGTGAAATGAAGGACGCACCAAGTCGTAGAAGGTCTTGAAGTCAACCTGATCAGAAGATACATTCTTGTCCATGGGCTTGGCGGCTTGGTGGTCGTAGGGGTTCGAGCACACCTGACAAAACTGATTCTTTTCATACGATGACGCATTGTATCGCGCCATGGTCTTGCGATCCACACCCGACACTTCCAAAATAGCTTTCACCGATGCAGGGAGCTCTGTTGGAAGGTTGCCATCGTCGTAGACGCGCGGCTTTGTCCGACGCCCCATCTCCTTCCGGAAGTAGTCTAGATGATTTGCCGTCTGGAATGTAGGCCCCTGGTCGTCACGACCCTCTTGGAGCAGCCAATAAGCGGAAAGAACCTTTGCGAGTGTGTAGGACAGCGGGCTTTTGCCAACATAGGATTTACCAATCCAGATGACACCGCTCTCGATGACATAAGGCAAGACCGGTGCGATGACTAGGTTGATGGCCCACGGAGTGAAGTCTACGAGAGTGAGCGGCCAGTCTGCGATAGTTTTCGCTTGCGACCCTTTGTCCGCCAAACAACGAAGATATTCTTTGATAGTGCCCCTGTCCCACCGAAACAACGGTCCGTTTGGATCATTGACTTGCTCCTCCGTCCAAGATGTGAACTCGCCGTTGGAATTTTCCTGCGGCCCGTGCTCCTTCAGGAAGGTGAAGCCTTTGCGGATGTCTTCCGTTTCCTTCACCGGCTTGGTGCTTGCATTCCCAGGGACGAGTTGGTGGTACCGAACCTGAAACCCACCCAAGCCTTCCAATAGATATTGTAAGGCACGAGAACCTTCACGGAAATTCTTCTGGTAGTTAATCTCCAAAGGCCTCCCCGTGCACATCGTTTTAATGGTTGAACTCATCATCCTGGTGCCGTCGGCGAACCTGACATGCTTCACAATATCCCATTTGTTCGCCCCTTTTGGCAGCAAGAACAATTGCATGGTGTAGGGATGGAGATTGTTACCTTTCATCTTGATTGGCTCAGGGAGATCGCTGTACCTCTGCTGCTTGAAGAGAGTTTCGATGATTTTGAGGTCTAGGTCACCCTCGTAGTCCATCAAAACTTCCAAAAACTGCACCTTTTTGTTCATACTGTCCACGATCTCGTCTTTTGCAGGCAGGTCCCCGATCTTGATGGCACCAATGGGCTTATTCACTACCAACGGCTTGTCCAAAGTCATGATTTTCATACCATCGGTGATGCCAATGGCTTCTTCCCATGTAGTTGTGCCGTCCAAAGTAGCTTCGTTCATGGATTGCGCGAGTGACACCGACCTCTGCGGTGGCAAGGACGCCATGAGCGACACAAGGGGGCAAAAGCTACAGCAAAATAACTTGAGCGAGTAGTCTGCATCAAGAACATTTGCTTCTGACACCATCATTCTGCACGAGACATCGTCTGATTCATGAGACTGTGCATCGTGGCAGGTCTTCAGAGTTACCGGTGTCTCAAACATTGGTTTTTTGAGACCCTCTCGAGACTTGGGAGCTTCAGAGCTTTCAAAGACTGGAAGGGTTTCAAAAAAATCCATCTTTCGCTATCGAAAAACAGCGAAACCTTGAGAGAGTCTCAAAAAAACCTAAAAAACCAATCGTGGCAGGTCTTGGGAGTTACCGGTGTCTGAAACATTTTTTTTTTTTGAGACCCTCTCGAGACTTGGGAGCTTCAAGGCTCTCAAACACTGGAAGGGTCTCAAAAAAAACAATCTTTAGAAGATCCGGTATTGGTTTTTTTGAGACCCTCTCGAGACTTGGGAGCTTCAGAGCTTTCAAAGACTGGAAGGGTCTCAAAAAAACCAATCTTTAGCTATCGAAAAACAGCGAAACCTTGAGAGGGTCTCAAAAAAACCTAAAAAACCAATCGTGGCAGGTCTTCGGAGTTACCGGTGTCTGAAACATTGGTTTTTTTGAGACCCTCTCGAGACTTGGGAGCTTCAGGGCTCTCAAACACTGAAAGGGTCTCAAAAAAACCAATTTTTGGAAGATCAGGCTTTCTGAAGAGTGTACGGGATTGGTTTTTTTGTTTTTTTGAGACCCTCTCAAGGTTTCGCTATTTTTCGATAGCGAAACATTGGTTTTTTTGAGACCCTCTCGAGACTTGGGAGCTTCAGGGCTCTCAAACACTGAAAGGGTCTCAAAAAAACCAATTTTTGGAAGATCAGGCTTTCTGAAGAGTGTACGGGATTGGTTTTTATTGTTTTTTTGAGACCCTCTCAAGGTTTCGCTATTTTTCGATAGCGAAACATTGGTTTTTTTGAGACCCTCTCGAGACTTGGGAGCTTCAGGGCTCTCAAACACTGAAAGGGTCTCAAAAAAACCAATCTTGGGAAGATCAGGCTTTTGGAAGAGAGTAAAGAGAAGCATGTCAAGTTTCACGTCCAGTTACATGTGCATGTGCACGTACACATTCACGTACAGTGTTTTCTGCATGCACATGTAGACATACACAGCAAGACGAACAACACTATACCGGCGCACTGGACATGCGAACGAAACCAAAAGAACAAAAAACGAAGGAAGCAGTGAAGAACTTGACCATGCACTCGAGGATCGCACCTGCAGCAAGGCTTGAGGGTGTGGATTCCGGGGGGGGGGGGTACCAAATATATATATATATATATATATATGTATGTATGTATTTGTTTGTTCATATTGATCCATTGATTTATTTGTTCATGCACACTGTTTTGGAGGCGGCTGAATGGTTCGGGTTTCGGGTGTGCGAGAAATTTGTGTGCCATTCTGCATCCCAAGCCTTGAGCGAATGCAGAAGTTTCCCTATGGGTCCAAAGGACCCAACAATGGGGAGTTTCTATAACGGCTGTATAACGAGTTTCTATAGGGGTTTGCAAGGGAGTTTACAAGGTTGTGAAGGGGGTCAGAGGACTGTGTGCACGTGGGTTCAGGATTGCAGTTTTCGTATGTAAATAGTTGGGAGAGTATATGATCGTTGATATACGGGCCTTAATAATTCGAATAGGGTTGTGGGCATTATACTATAGCCATGACAAGGAACCCCCAAAATAGATTTGGTAATTAAATATAGGCTCCTACAGTAAGTACTCGGATCCTTAGGGTTTCTGCCTGGGAGGGCAGCATGCAGAGAAGCGCTCATGGCGATGACCATCGACTGCGACAAGCTGGCTTCGAAGTTTAATGCGCCGACCGCCATGAATGTGAAAGTGGGCATGGCATCCCCAGTTCAGGACGAGATGGCTACACCGAAACTAGGCCTTGGAGTACCGAACTTTAACACTTGATTGGGGACCTGTCACTTAAAGGGACCCGTTATGAAACAAAAGTCTACGGTTTTTAGGGTTTAGGGTTTAGGGTTTAGGGTTTAGGGTTTAGGGTTTAGGGTTTAGGGTTTAGGTTTACTCCTTGAGTACTTCAAAGCCCAGGAAACTAGCGGCCGGAGCTGGAGAGACGGGTGGAGTCCTTGCTCATGCCCTGCGCAGCAAGCTGCAGCAACTCCGGGCGCAGATGTTCCTGAAGGAGCAGGAAACTCACAGTGTTCATGGGATGAGCTTAGGCAATGACTTCGTCAAGGTGCCACTGCCTACAGAAGAAGCTCATGCGGCGGAGCCCATGCTGCTGCCTCCTCCCGAGCCACATTCCGTGCAGCGACCGCAAAAGATACTCCCCATGCCCGGCAAGACTAATCACGTCACTTCGAAAGGATCAGCGGGACACCCTTTTACCTGTGCAGCTGCCTGCCGGTACGTCAAGCGCAAGGGCGGCTGCCGAAATGGCTCCGACTGCCTTCTCTGTCATGAGTGCTTCTGGTACAAGACATCTGCGAAGCACAACGAGACGAGGACAACTGGCCGGGTTCTTGGACAGGAAGCCGGTCGAAGTCCTGTCTTCCTCTCGACCTCGGAGGATCTGGCAGACGACTTCACGCCACTTCCATCTTTCGAAGCATGCAACATGTATCCTCAGGGGGACGCCCAGCCCGCTTCCATTGTGGAAATGGAAGGACTTGCACCCCCGGGGTTCGACATGCCGCAGGCAAGGAACCCCGGCTCATTGGGCCATCCATACAGTTGCGGACCTGCCTGCAAGTATGTGCTGAAATCGCGGGGTTGCAAGGAGGGAGACACATGCGTGCGTTGCCACCTGTGTCACTGGACCCGTTTCTCTGCCAAGACTCTGAAGCTCATCGAAGGTCTGTCAGAGCAGTGAAACCACCGGACAGGCCCCGTGATGCTGGCCTCTGTGAGATGTTGACAACCTGCTGCGCTAATATTTATAGGACCATTACCAATAGTACCCCTTATAGTCCCTACGTAATTCTACCAGAACGGACCCCAGGCCTTTTTTCTTATTATTACGACCTATATTATGCTCACCGAGCAGAATCGCCAGTGCTGTTTCAGAGTCTTGGAGGATGCCTGTCATACCCTTTCGCATGTGAGGTGGAGCTTTTGATCTCTACGCGCTCTAAAGTTTCGAAGAATCCAACTGTAAAAGGAGGGACCCTTAATAAGGACCCCGAGGTATATACCCTTAATATAGCTATCATATACTCATTATCTAGCCCATTATAGGGTAGGGGTCCCCAGTAAGGGTCCCTCCTTTTCCCCTTTGATTAAACTAATCCCTAAACCCTAAACCCTATAGATCCCTTTAAAGGAACCCTTATAGATCCCTTTAAAGGAACCCTAAGAGCCCTAAATTAAGGGTCCCTCCTTTTCCCCTTTGAAAGAATCTCTGAATTGGTCACCGGCTCTTGGGCCCCCATGCCGCTTGAAGGTTGAACTTATACCCTAGGGGTTCCTTTAAGGGATCTATAGGGGTAGGGTTTAGGTAGGGTTTTAGGGTTTAGGGTTTAGGGTTCCACTATAGGCTACTATAAGGGTTACCATAAGGGTCACTATAGCTAGGATGCCCAGTAGTACCCTTATTCCCTTTTTGTAGTCCTAGGTTCCTTATGAAGTTACCCAGTGCCAAAAAGAGAGGCCTTTTTATTCTTAGGTTACTGGGTATCCTAGTTGAACTTATACCTAGAGTCTCCATGGTAGTTCCCTGTTTTGGCTAACCAGGTTTATGGTTAGGATCCTACAGTAGGGATTTTTTGGGTCAATCAGAGAAAGGAACTACAATGGAGATGGTAGGTATTTCAGTCTAGCAGTCTAGTCGCTACGGTTGATGACATAAATCCTGCGTTGCCTGAATGGTTCGAGGCCAGGGGACTTATGGTATACCTGGACTGTAAGGAACCTACCTTTTCAGTGCCCCCTAAGTGATTTCTTTATGGAAGTCCCCAAAAAAAGGGTAGGTTATTTGGGGTTAAGGTCTTCCTTATTAATAATAAAGGGTAATGCAGGATTTATGTCATCATCAGTATTACTTGTGTTTTCCCCTCGGGATGCAAAGTGAGGGCGCCATGCCCGAGCGCGGTTTGTGCCATAGCCAACATGGCGAAGACGCCTTGGTGTGCAACTCGCGCACCCTCTTGTCCGGCTGGTCCTGACACCTCTCCACAGAACCCAATACCCCTTAATTAAGGAGTATACCGTCAATCATAGTATTAAGCTCCCTACTTGGAGGGTCGGGGGACTTAGTAACTGGGTATTTTAGGGACTTATAAGTACCATAACCCCAATTCGGGTCCCTTTTAGGGTACTTATAAGTCTACTTACCTACTTACTAAGTCCCCCGACCCTCCAAGTATAACTTAAGGTATAATCCTTAATTAAGGGGTATTGGGATCTTTGGGTTGAAGGTGTCACGCGAGCCACCGAGGTACCCGAAGTTTCGCCTCCGAAGCTCTCGTGAGCAGAGTGCTTTACCCAGACCTTCCAAAATCCCTTAGTTAAGGTTCTTTTTTGAATGAAAGCCCTTTATGTAATCCCTTAGTTAAGGAACATCTTTTAAATGATACTGACTCGGGATCCTGTCAGAAATATAGGTATAGTCCCTAATTGAGGGATGTTGGAAGGTCTGGGTAGTGTGCCGAAGGACACTTGTCCGCAGGGCATCACGTGGCGCTTTGCAAGGCTGCTGCGTGCGAGCCACTCCTTGTCCGACAGGGCGTTTAGGAGGGTTCACTTCGCGCGTTTAGTAGTGGTACTGCCGAATTCGAAATGAAAAGTGCTGCTCTGTTTCACACAGGAAGATGCCGGGACGACCGTGGCCATGCTACAATGTTGTGCCACACCGAATGTGCAGTTGCGTAGCCCCAGACACCTCAGCCTCAATCAAATATAGGTGCCGTAAATTTTTAATAAATAACCTCAGTACGTTTTTGGTGTATATTATGCTATACCATACTTAAAAAGAAGCCCCCGAAATAGCAGCTATAGGTAATGATGAAGGCCTCTACAATTCCCTTCGGTGCCGGCTACGGGGTTGACGTTCGTGCATGAGGAGGCTGGAGGTGCCAGGGATCCACCAGAGATGCTACTATTTGCTTAAGAACCCCCAAAAAATAAAAAATATATTCCTTATAGGGATAATATAGGGATTATAATTTTATATTTTTTGGGGGTTCTTAAGCAAATAGTAGGATGGGTGAAGAGAACTAGCAACAAGGTCGAAAGTTACCCTCCAGGTGTGAATTGCTTGTATTTCTCCACTGTTGCACCTGTCTACTGCCAGTTCGAAGTACATATCCCTACGACTCCAAGTAACCTTCTTTGGGATTCTAAATCAATATACCTGGCCTCGGGCCACTCACTAAGTTGTTACATAGAGTCATAAGTATGATCACCCCAATTGGGATTCCTTCTAAGGTACCTGTAATTCTACATTACTAAGTTCCCCAACCCTCCAAGTAGCAACTCTGGATTAGTTGGAGTCTTAGGGTGTCACTTCGCTACCCGGACTGCGGCCTCTGCGATACGGTTGATGATAAAAACTCTGCATTACCCACAAGGAGGAGTATGACATTCCATATAATTCCCATAATCTAGGGCATGAAGGGCAGGATTTGTATCATCAATCGTACCCAGAGCCTCCAAAACCCCTTAAGTAGGGAATATACCTTAAATCATATAAGGGGTCCTATTATAATTTAAGGTAAATTCCTTAATTAAGGGGTTTTGGAGGCTCTGGGTAGGGTGCCCCTGTCCGGTGTGATATCCAGTTTGATGCTCCGCACTCCACGCTGGCATAGGAGACCTCTGCCTACAAAAGCCCGGCTGTTGTACGCAAGTAGCAGTATTCCTTGGGTTCCTTACTAGAAACCTAGTAGAATCCTACTATAATCTTACTATAACCCCACTATACCTGACTATCCTCGAATAATCCTGCTAATTATAATGAATAATCTTACTACCATAATCCAACTGTAGCGTGCCCCAAAGTCCACAAAACCCTTTTCTAGTTGTTAAGGCCCCCATATTAGAGGTCCGCTGCGGTCTTGAGGAGCTTTTCTTTTTGTCGCTAGGACTGGTCTGAAGCGTGCGGGGGACGGGAGCGGAAGACTGGTAATGTAACGAATAGGGCTTAGGGCCGTTTAGGGATTTAGCGTTTAGGGTAGGGGCTCAAAGGTTTAGGGTTTAGGTTTGGGGTTTATAGGGCTTTCTTATTTTGGTATATGTTCCGAAACCCATTCTAGCTCATCGATTGCTAGATCCGCTCGCGGTTGCCCGCACCCAGCAGATGCCTCAGCCACACTTGGCTTTCTGAGCTCAGCGACGCACGACAAGAGGCGATCAACGAATGCAAAACGAGAGTTACCCGAACTACAAAATCCAAGCCCTCTCTCCATCTCAGTCCTAGAATTTTTCGTAATTTCGCAAACAGCCAAGGCTTCACCACGGACGGCCAGCGCCTCACGGGAATTCCCGCGAAACGACAGGCGCGAGGCTTTATGATTTCGCATTCAGTGAGCTTCTCTTTGGGGTTTCGCGAAAGACCTTTGAAACATATAGAAACTATGAGGGGTTAGTAGTAATGTTCTAGGACCCAGAGTAGGCCCTTATTCCCTTTTTTGAGGCTTAGGTTCCCTTATAAACCCCTTAAACAAAAAGGGCACCCTTTCTATTCCTAGGTTACTCTTAGGTCTAGTGTTCAGACTTCTAGACTTGTGGTGAGCTTCGGTGATTTCGTCGTAGTACTTCCGAAGCTGGAACTGCAAGTTCCTCCGTTAGTGAGCGATTACCCAGAGACTCCAATATCCCTTAATTAAGGAATGTACTTTACATTATAGTAGGATCCCTAATATGATTTAAGGAATATTCCTTAATTAAGGGATATTGGAGTCTCTGGTACTTAGAGGATCAGTAAGTAGGGCTATAAGGTACTATAGCTATATCGCCTTATAACCTTCATTAAGGTACTTATAACCCTACTTACAAAGCGCCCTGATCCTCAAAGTAAACTCTACATCGATGTCCTCGGAGCCTGTCAGTTATTGCACAGAAGCTGCCAGCTGAGGCGGTGAACCCCGTTTGAACCCTGAACCCCTATGTGTGATGGCGAAATCCAGAAAGTTGGAACATGTATTTCGGATGATTCGTGCTCGGATTCCCAATGCTTTGCCTCAATGGTACGAGGATAGTGGTTTCCAACTTTGTGGCTTCGACTTCCTGGACCCTGAAAGCTAATTCATCCCATGTGAGGCAGTCACCAATGCAGAGAACACCGTTTTTGCGGCGAAACGCCTCTCAGCTGACAGTGCATGAATGAGCTGCACGTTCTGGGTTCTGGGATTAGATTGGGGGATCATGGGACTTAGGAATGGCAGATTGGGCCATATAAAACAACAGGCCAATCACGGCCACAGGTAAACACAACCACACCCAAAGATCCCAATACCCCTTATTGAAGGATTATACCTTAAACTACAGGGGGCTTCATTTTATGATTTAAGGTATATTCCTTAATTAAGGGGTATTGGGTTCTCTGGGCAGTTACTTTACTCAAAAACCCCACTTCTAATGTCTCCAGATCCTCTGAGTAGGGTCTGAGGCCGTAGCCTTAGATAGTGAACGGGGGACTTTAAACCTTTTGGCCTTATAGATTAGCTCTGTTTTTTGGGGCCCGGTTGTTGAAGAAGAGAGTAGCGGCTTCGGGGCATGGGGCCGAGGGTTTGAGCGGCTTAGGCTCAGAGGCTTAAGAGTTCGACAACCTCCTTGGGTTGACAAGCTGCGGTTTAGGGTTTAGGGTTTACCCTAAACCCTAAACCTTAAACCCCTGCTGCTACTAATAGTCCTCCTACTACTCGCCACCACCAGCACCACCACCACTACGAGTATTGCTAACTCTACCACAACAACAACAACAACGGTAGTATAGTGTTAGTCTACTCGTACTGGTACTAGTACTACTAGCCACCCCCCCTCAACCAGCTGGCGCCCAAGCCCATCATCATCGTCGTCGGCGTAGGCATTGGACTACTACGACATCACGAGGTACTGTAAATACCGATTAAAATGGATGTGCTCTTGAACTGTAGGTCATCATGCCCCGCACACCCCCCCCCCGCCCGCAAGCAGCAACAGTGCACAACAGCGGTGCTTGGTTTTGGACTACGACATCACGAGAAAGTACACGACATCACGCGAACGTACTGCACATGCCGAGATACACGGATGTGCTCTTAAACAGCGTTTAAGAGAGGGGTGGTTGGTGGGGGGGGCCTACTACTAGGACTATCACCATGGACCATCACTATACGAGCTTGCACAGCAGCGATGATCACATCAGAGGCATTTACTTGTAGTACAGGAGCAGCAACAGCGACAAGAGGAAGATAGGAATAATTGAATAATCAATAACAGCAAGAAGCAACGCAAGGCCTTATCGGACGTTCCTACGACGACGAAGCCACACAGAAGGACAAGAAGGTCCTGCCCTACAAGGCGACTTTGTGTACAGAGCCTAGACTCCCACACTACCCTCCAGTATACCCCAAATACCCACCATTAAGGTTGATGATATAAATCCTGCATTACCCATAGTAAGGAATATACCATAATTCCCATAGTTTAGGGCCCTTAAGGTAATGCAGGATTTATATCATCAACAGTTTTAAGGACCATAAGGACTCTATTAAAGGGCCATTGGGGGTCCTGGATTGGGTTTACTTTCAGGATTGAAGTTTCGAAATGCAGCTGGGCTTGTGATTGTGATCAGAGTCCCCCCCAATTCCTAGACCCTAAATTTAAATTTAAATTGCCTGACACCCCTAAACCTGAAAGCCTACACCACATGCCTCAAGGCTTGAACCCAGAACCCTCACCGTAGACCTTAACCGGCCATTAACCTTAAAATCTACACCCTAAACTCGAAAGGTTGAGCTCTAAACCTACAAGACCCTAAACCATACAAAAATAATGGCCCTAGCTCCATACCTAGAACTAAATTTAAAACCTACACCCCAATCTTGATAACTTCATGGAAACTGGGACCAGGGCCCGAGTGTAGGGTTCGAGGTTTGATGGGCGTTTGATGGGTTTCCCAGACCGTCTTAGGGGGTCCTTGAAAGGTTCCCTCCAGGGATTTTCTACGTTTCTAGGACCCAGAGTAGGCCCTTATTCCCTTTTTGAGGCTTAGGTTCCCTTATAAACCCCTTTAAACCAAAAAGGGCACCCTTTTTTTTTCCCAGGTTACTCTTAGGTCTAGGTTTTGTTAGGGGTCTTCCCACAGACCTTCCAGAATCCCCTAATTAAGGAATGTACCTTAACTCATACGACGGGTCCTACTATATTTTAACGTATGTTCCTTAACTAAGGGATTTTTGTAAGGTTCTGGATTTGTAAGGGTTTCATAGAGGGCCAGGGCTTCTTCAAGGCTCCGAGTGGGTAGCGGGTACTCGTTCATCATTGTTCGCTTTGGGCTCTATCTGCTACGGGGAGTAGAGGTTCGTGACTTAGAGGACCATTGGACTTAGTAAGTACGGTTAAACTAGTTACAGCGCTGATTAGGGTATTCACCCTACCTAGAAAGTCCCCCGACCCTCCAAGTATGCTTCTTCTGCAGTTTGTTAGGGATAGGGGTTTAGCTGCATATATAGGTGTGGTAGTTCGTATTCCACCTTTGCTTAAGCTGAACCGGGCTGAACCGTCAGCCCTCTACCGGATGGAATTGTTGAAGCGGCCACTTGCGATCCTTCCAACTCGAAGCCCTAAACCCTAAGGAGGGGGCATTAGACCCAGACTTTTCTCCGACCTCTGACCCCAAACTCTTAAATCTTAAGCCTGACCTTAACCGGGAAAATCTTACCCTTTTGGAGGACTTATATAAGGAAATCATAATAAGGAACTCCCCCAAAAAAGGTAGGTTATTCAGGGTTAAGGTAAATTCACGGGGCCTCAAATCTAGAGCTATCTCAGACCTCTGATCCCAAGCTCCTAAACCCTAAACCCTAAACCCTAAACCCCTAAACCCTAAACCCTGAACCCTGAACCCTAAACCGTGAATTCGTGGGGGGCCTCAAGGCTATCTCAGACCTCGGGGGTTGTGGAGATCAGGTCTTGGGATTTATGGGTTTACTTTAGTTTAGGGTTTAGGGTTTAGGGTATTGCCCCCATACATTAGAAGGGGCCCCCACCCTGTAATAGTGGTATAATCGGAATATAATAGGGCCCTAATATAATCCTTATAGTCAGTATTACAGGGTGGGGGCAGCTTCTAACCCATACAGTAAGAGTCCATAGTACGGCTACTAAATTGGTCCTAATTCATCTATTTTGAGAATATTCTTCAGCTTCTACTGAGTGGGGCTGTACCCAGGGGTAACTGTTGAGGACTGAGGATTCAGGGTTCAGGATTTAGGGTTTAGGACTTGGGATGTAGGGTTCAGGGTTGAGGGCTAAGGATTTAGGGTCTTTAGGGTTCAGGGTTTAGGGCTGAGGATTTAGGGTTTAGGGTTGGGGATGTAGGGTTCAGGGTTTAAGTCTAAGGATGTAGGGTTTACGGCTTTGGGTGTAGAGTTGACATTAAAGGTTTGGGTGGTTGTGGTCTAACGGTTCAGGGATAACGGGCTTATTTAAGGTTCATGCCTCAGGGTCCAGATCTTGGCTTTCGCTCTAATCCTTGAAAAATCATTGAACCCAAAGGGGGGGTTCCATATTCATATATATATATATATATATATGTATATATATACCATATATATATATATATATATATATATATATTCATATATATTCATATATATACATATATATATGCGCAACATGCCGGCAATCGGGTATAGCAGAAGATCTTGAAAGTTCTTTTGTGCCGAACGGCATTTACAGCCTAAGCCCTACCTGGACCCCGAATGTATGTAGAATTATGGCCTTTTGTAGATTTTCGGGCGATTGTTTACATACTTTTGTTGGGGTCTGGGCAAACCTTAAACCCTAACCCGCAAGCTGCGACAGGTTGTGCGTGCTCCGAACGGTGACGCCTGGATCGAGGCAGAGGGTGTTCAGAGAGCCCCATACCCGGCCATACCCCTTAATTGATAAGGAGTGTGGCTTAAGGCCTAGGGGTTCCGTAAGGGGCTCCTTAAAGGGATCTATAAAGGTTCTACAAGGGAGTTAGGGAATGTGGCTGGGCCCACCGGGTACGAACTTGCTGCAGGGGCTTCAGCATCAGACTGCTGACGGTGATGATGCGTGCGGTGTGAGGTTCTTACTCCTGTTCCCTAGGATATCAGCTCTGGGCCACAGCCCGGAACCTAAAACCTCAACGTTGCCATAAAGTTGGTTCAGTGCGACAGGTTTAGTAATCGGATTTGGGGTTACAACATACACCCCGAAAGCGCCATTCAAAAGGCGGTTTCCCCACGAGCTGGGCTTTGGACTTGTTACTTGAAGGGAACCATTATGAAATACACATCTATACTTTCCTCCTGCCACTTCAAAGCCCAGTTGGAGTCAATGTGCAGAGGTTCAATGTCTGTTGCAACAGCGTAGTCGGGTCACGTATGCCTAACGTATGGGCCGTAAGAATTACCTGTAGTCCTTGTGGGGCGTTGCTTATTGTAATTACAATACAATATAATTGTTCCCAAAACCCTATTCTAATTAAGGCCCCCATGTTACCCCTTCGAGATCCCGAAAAGGCCGCCGGCGAGAAGTACGCCCCGAGCCAGATCGGCGCCTTCGTTCTGACGAAGATGAAGGCCACCGGTCCATCCAGGGTTACCTGTAGCCGAGAAGATCGACCTATTTTAGGGTTTCTGTTTGTTAAACAAAAACATTCTATGGAAAATGAAGGCCACTGGTTTAGGGTTAAGGGGGTTTAGGGTTGAGGATTTAGGCTTCAGAGGTCCAGGGTTTCGGACTGTTGTTGTAAGGGTTCTATAAGGGGTTCTATATGGGTTCTGTAAGTACCGTTTGCATGCAGGCCTTTGCTCTCTTAGGTCCCCTTTTCAGTCCGACGGCTTCTGCTTTGGGACCTAGGGTTTTTGGGTTTAGGGCTTAGGGGTTCCATGAGGGTTCTTCTGTGGGGTTCTATAAATGGGTTCCATATAAGGCTTCGATGAGGGTTGAGGGGCGGGTTAATAAGTAGAGTTCTGGGTACCCTGAAATGAAGATCCTAGTCGGGGATTCGGTACTTATACCTGTATAGAATAACTACTTTCTAGGTTCCCCGACCCTCCAAGCAGGGCGCAGGGTTCGGGCTTTCTATAAGGGTTTGGGGCTTCTTTTAGGGATCCGTCAAGTCCAGGGTTTGGGGTTTAGGGGTACTGTTATCCTGTTGTTTTTTCTGGTGGGCTCTCAGGACTTTAACGTTTTTGGTATTTCTACATGAGCTGTAGTGAGGAGGCTAAAAGTTTAACTTTTAGGAGGGGTTCAGAGATCAGCCAAGGTCAAAAGGGTAAGCATAAACTATACTATTGCTGTAAGGCCTAGAGTAGAACAGGCCTTACAGGAGGATTCTTTTGCGGTTCTGCGGGTGGGGGTTTTCTATGAACGATCGATGAGGTTCTGAGGGCTCCTTTACAGGATTCTTTTAAGGCTTAGTAGCTGAGTGGATACACTTTAATACACTTTTTGGGATAATACTACCCACTATAAAACTGAAAGTGTACACTTTGTGGGCTTATGAATTCAGCAACCAAGAAGGGTCTAGAGATAAGGATGTATAACGTGATTGAGGTTTGAAGGCCACGTGTCTTCGGGCTCCTTGCAGGGTTTTGGGCTTAGGTCTGTTTTGAAGGATCCTTTAGAGATTTCTAGGGTTCCTTTGGGTTCTATCAGAGCTCCAGAAGGCTTTCTGGGGAGTACTGTTTAGAGTTTTTTCGGGTGAGAGGAAAGCTGTATGGGTTAGGGGCTTTTACTTAGAGGATCATGGGACCTAGTAAGTAGGGTTATAAGCAAGGTAGCTAGAGTTATATCTACTTAGAACCCCAATTAAGGTACTTATAACCCTACTTACTAAGTCCCATGATTCTCTAAGTAGGGTTTTGTGATCGTGTTTTACTGTCTTGCATGGGTTTTATACGGCTCTCTAACTGTAGGAACCTGATTATGTAACCCTGAGCTTATAACCCCAAATAAGGTGTTTTAAATAGGTTCCTGCATGAAGGAGTACGCGACACAGAGCACCCCAGAAGTGCTGAGGACCTTTCAAACGAAGCCTGCAGACAGAGAGCCCAATACCCCTGATCCATAGGGTTTAGGGTTAGAGGGAGCCAAAAACCGCTTAATCAACGAATACGGCTTAAGTTGTATAGGGCTTCATATGATGATTTAAGCTACATTCCTTCAATCCCTACTATAGACCCCTATGGATCTCTTTAAGGAGCCCTTTAAGGAACCCCTAGGCCTCAGGCTATAATATTCCTCAATCAAGGGGTATCGGGCTCTCTGAGTAGACAGGAGACCGCAGAGGCGTATCTGGGACGCAGCCAAGCAAGCAACAAGATTCAGGGGTAGGATTTTGTGGGTCGGCATTTAGGCATTATAGGGTTTAGGGTTTAAGATTTTTGGGGGTGGGCGTTTAGGCATTATAGAGTTTAGGGTTTCGGGTTTAAGAATTCGGGGGGTGGGCATTTAGGCAATATAGGATCTAGGAGTAGATGTTTGGGAGTGTAGGACTTAGGATTTAGGTGTAGGTGTTTGTTTCGGTGATTCTCGGCCAAAATACACGAAACCCCATTATAACCCCCCTAAACCATCTATTTGCCTGCTCAGGCGGAGAAAGAGCCACTGCACTTAAAACATAAGCCTATAGCAAAGCTTTAGTTTGGCAGGGCCAAGGTCAGAGTCTACCCCAAAGGCTCCATGTACCTTTATAGTAGATTCTTCAGCCTTAAAGAGCTCCCTATAGAGGTACTTGAAGGCCTAAGTATATACCATATGGGTACATGGAGCCTTAGGGTACGCAGGTGAATAGGCTGCGGGTTTAGACAAAGGCTGCAGGCTTCAGCGTTAAAGGTCGCTTCGGAGTTCAGGGTTTGGCGAATCGGAACCCTTGTCTTCGGGTTTAGGGGTTACCGGGTTGGACCTGTGATCTATAAGAACTTCGTCCTGTGTTTGGCAAACCTTAACCCCACGTAACCTACCTTTTTAAGGACTTATATAAAGAAATCATATTAGGGAACCCTAAAAAGGTAGGTTCCTTAGGGTCCAGGAACCGTACCCTAAACCCTAAACGCCCTAAACTACGTGTTCAGAACATCGGTGACCCTACTGTCGTAAAGAGTCGGCTCCTTCCATTCGGAAACCCCGTCACCCTAAACCCTAAATCTTTAGGATACAGAAGGGACAAACCCCTAAACCCCTATACCCCTACCTGGACCCTAAGGAACCTACGTTTTTAGGGTTCCCTAATATGATTTCTTTATATAAGTCCTTAAAAAGGTAGGTTACGTGGGGTTAAGGTAAACCCTATACCCGTAAACTCCACAAACCCTGCGAGTGGGTCCCGCGTCATGGCATGTCCTTTCTGTACTATGGGTTTTACACCTCTGCACGCAAATGTGGATTCGTGCCAGGGGCCAGGGAGAGCGTCAATTCCAGCAAGCGAGCTCACGAGCACACCCGGACAAGGCTTCTGGTAGCCAAGAGCAGCAGTTGTTCCTAGACATGCGTCGGCATATGTGCATGGAGCGGCTGGGCCAATCATAATTTGACGCCCTATATAATTTAAGCCATATTCCTTAACTCCCTTATAGAACCCTTACGGAGCCATTTAACGAGCCCTTTAAGGAACCCTAGATATCGCCCAACGCCTCGGCGCCCTGCTTCGGTAGCCAGAGACCACAATATCTTAGAAGGGGCCCCCACCCTGTAATAGTGATTATAAGGATTATATCAGGGCCCTATTACATTCCTACTATACCACTATTACAGGGTGGGGGCCCCTTCTAACCAATATCCCTTCATTAGTTTATTCCTTGCAAGGAACATATCAACTAAGGGATATTGGAGTCTCGAATCAAATTAGGGATCCGATTATAAATTAGGTATATTCAGTATATTCCTTAATTAAGGGATATTGGAGTCTCGAATCAAGCTAGGGATCCTATTATAATTTAAGGTATAAACTAAGGGATATTGGAGTCTCTGCGGAGCTGGTTCTCCGACAGTCGGCGCATGCTCACCGAGTCGGTGTGCTGCAACTGGCACAGGGACCTCTACTCTATTCTTGGGGGTTCCTGTAAAGGGGTCTATAAAGTCTACTATAGGGGTATTATAAGCATGTAGTATAGGGGGCTTAAGTAATTTCCTACATCTTATTTTGGGGTGTACTTATTGTAGTCATAGTATAATGGGCCCCAAAGCCCTGTTCTAGCTATTAAGGCCCCAATATTATGTGCGACTGGGGTCTGCATACTTTGCACAGATCCTGGACCCTTCACTCCGGGCAGCTTCAGCAACGAAGGCTTCGAAGCCTGCGAAATTAGATCCTTGAAACCCAAACTTTTACCCCATATGTTCCAAACTGCAAATTCCGTCAACTCCCAATGCAGCCCCCCAAGACCCCATTTCGCCACTTCTACACTTTTCTCGAAGAACAACCCAGTAACTGCCCCAGTAATTTATGCGACTTAGTACGTCGGGTTACATGCAGCTTAACTGGGGTTAAAGCAGATATAGGCATGTTCACCTTACTTATATCCCTACTTACCAAGTCCCCTTATCTTTAAACTAAACTTTTTTAAATTAAGCCCTAAATCCTAAAATCCCTTAAACTCCAAACCCTGAACCTTAAACCCTTAAAATCCCTAGACCCTAGACTCCAAACTCCCGTCAACCCTGAAGCCTAAGCTCCGCTAAACCCTCAACCCTAAGGCAAATAAAACCCTCAGGAAACGTGGGCCAAGCCGTCGTCACCGTCCCTGCGTATTTCAACGATGCGCAGCGACAGGCAACCAAGGCCCGCGGCGTTGGCTTTCCCGGAGACTCCAAATCGGTTTAGGGTTTAGGGGTTTAGCGTTTAGGGCGTATCCCCTTAATCCAGGAATCTACAGGAATATTCCTGAATTGAGGGATTTCGGAGTCGATGTTTGAAGTTGTCGGTTGATCGTCAAGCAAGTCCAGCACCCACCACATAAAGACGACCCACCACGTAAAGACGGGAGAAGATCCATATTCGGCTGTTGGGGCAGTTTCCCGGAAACCCCGAAGCCCCTAACCCCTCAACTTTAAACCCTCAACCCCTAAACTCCTCAACCCCTAAACTCCTAAACCCCTAAACCCTAAACCCCTAAACCCTAGACCCCTAAACCCTCCTAAACCCTAAGCCCACAAGCCTTAATTCATGATGGGCTCACGGGATCCCTGGGTTGCAGCTTGGAGGGATTCCGGGGTTGAGAGTTTAGTTGAAGGGCCGAAGGATCACGGGACTTAGAAAGTAGGGTTTCCTTAAAGGGCTCCTTTAAGGGATCTGTAGGGCTGCTTCAAGGGATATACAGGGTTTAGGGTTTAGGGTCTACTTAGAGGATCAGGGGACTTAGTAAGCAGGGTTATACGTAAGGTAGCTGTAGCTATATACAAGCTATGTCTCTAATCAAGGTACTTATAACCCTACTTACTAAGTCCCATGGTCCTCTAAGTAGACCCTCAACCCTAAACCCTATAGATTCCTTGATTGTCGGAGCCCTATAAATCCCTTTATGGAGCTCTTTGAGGAAACCTACTTACGAAGTCCCATGATCCTCCAAGTAGACCCTAAACCCTAAACCCTTATAGTACCCCCTATAGATCCCTTAAAGGGACCCCTATAGATCCCTGAAAGGGACCCCAGAGATCCCTTTAAGGAGCTCTTTAAGGATCCTCTCAGTAAACACAAGAGCCGATGCTTTGCAAGGATGCGGGCAAGATCGCCGGCCTCGAGGTGGGCTGGGGTTTAGGGGTTTAGGGTTTACCATACAACGAGACGGCCAGAAGTTACTTGTCTTGGCTAAGAACCTTTTATTGCTTTGGGTCCTTTATAGAAGCCTGAATGATCTGTAGTGCAGCTTTTTGGGTTCACTTCGTGCGACCTATATAGTAAGCCCATGGACCAGCTTGGCCCTAAACTCTACGCCCTAAGCCCTAACCCTGAGCTCTAAATCCCAAGCCGTAAACTCGGACCATGAACCCTAAACCCTAAACCTAGACCCTGAACCTAAGCCTCATGAGACCACCCATAATCCGTGGAGGTCCCGCGAATCATCAATGAGCCGACGGCAGCGGCACTGGCCTTCGGCATGGACAAGGCCAAGACCGCCCGAGTTCCCATTGATAGAGCCGTGTTCGGCCCTTTTAGGGTTTACCTGGACCCCAAAGAACCTACCTTTTTAGGGCTCCTTATTATGATTTCCTTGTATAAGTCCTCAAAAAGGTAGGTTATTCGGGGTTAAGGTAGGGTTTAGGGGTTTGGGGTTTAGGGTTTAAGTTGGAGCCACATCGCTTTGAGAAGGTCTATGACCCTGCCCTCGAGAGCATAAAGCCCTAAGAGCTTAAGCCCTAAACCTCTAAAATCTAAAGACCCAAACCTTATAAGAGCTCTTCGAACCTGAATAGAACCGTGCCCTTGAAAGAGCCCCAAAACCCTAAACCGACAAAACGGAACCCTGAGCCCTAAACCTTAAACCAAACCTTAAACCCTAGGTTAAAACCTCAAAAACAGAATCCTAAGCCCCATAGATACACTTTAAACCAAACCTTGAACCCTAGATTAACGCCTAAGAAAACAAAATCCTCCCCGAAACCACCCTAAACCCTAAGCCCTAAAGCCTAAACCCTAATCCCTAAACCCTAAACCATAAAACCCTAGAACCCTAAGACCCTGAAGCCCTAAAACCCTAAAGCCTCAAAAAGCGGAGCCCTGAAGGGAACCGATGGCCAGATCCTCGCTGTCTACGACCTCGGCGGAGGAGGGTTTAGGGGTTTAGGCCCTACTTAGAGGATCATGGGACTTAGTAAGTAGGGTTATAAGTACCTTAGTTAGGGTTATAAGTAGATATATCTACAGTTACCTTACTTATAACCCTAGTTATTAAGTCCCCTGATCCTTTAAGTAAGGCTCCATGTACCCTATATATATATATATATATATATATATATGGTCACCCCCCCCCCCCCCATGACAGACCATCCCCTTCAAAACATCGCTCCCACCGGCGTGTTCGTGCTTTTTCTGGGGTATCGAGTTTGAGCCCTCCGAACGTATCCCTGGAACCACCAAAAGACTGAGACCAGAAAGCAGCACGATAAGGCGCGCGGGTGTCCTACCAAGAAAGGAATTACAGAGCACACGTGTATGGATGAGGGTTGTGCTGATACGCTACATAGTAAGCACTACACAGTAATCTTACTTGAATCATATATAGAGCAGATTCCAGCATTTCCAAAATTTCCAAAATTCTCTCCCCTAACTTTCGGGATTTCCAAAATTTCCAAAATTTCCCAAAAGTCCGCCCTTATGTTTTGGAAAAAATTCTGTCGACCAGGTCGGGAAATTTTGGAAATTTTGGGAATTTTGGGAAATTTTGAAATTTTGGAAATTTTGGCAATTTTGGCAAGTTTGGAAATTTTGGAAATTTTGGAAATCCGGAAAGTTAGGGGAGAGAATTTTGGAATTTTTGGAAATTTTGGAAATGCTGGAATCTGCTCTATATATGACTCAAGTAAGATTACTGTGTAGTGCTTTTTAACACTAACGTTGACATTTATATTAATGCTTTTATTACGAATATGCACATTACTAATACTATTATTAACATTAATACTCCTACACCTACCAATAGTCATATTCACATTGATATTAATGCCAATACTAACAGACACCTGCGTATAGTAATGTCCGCAGATATACATACCACTATCTGAAAAGCAAATATATCAATGCATTCGTGTACTAACGTAGTATATTCGTATTTAATTTGTCATATACCCAGTTTCCAACGTGACAATATACTACTTGTTAACGTCTGATTATACTGTATTGATATGCTAACTTGCTAAGACACGAATACTGTAATATGCAAGTACACTGACACATGGCAATGGTATACTAACATATGGATATACCAAAAAAGTTGTTAGATAATATACGAATATGATAAATGAAGTAGCATACCAGGATACTCATACACTAATATGTTAATAATCGAAGATAATAGCACACCAATATACTAATGTACTCATGCACGAACGTACGCATGCATTCATATACTAAGAGCATACAAACATACAGGTATACAAACATATTATTGTTCGAATACATTATAATGTGTTGGTATACTAAGCTGTTTATATAATCTATCAGTATACTAATATATCAAAACTAACTATAGTATTGATACGCATACTAGCACGTCCGCGAATATTACACTGATGTTAAAATCATCATTAAGATTGATTAAAACTGACATCGATATTGGCACTGGCATTAACACTAATTATCACTAAATATGCTAGTGTAATATACGAATACTGTAAAAGGCAAGTACACTGACATGTTCACATGCCATTATGCCAACATATTGATATACCTATAAGCTATTAGGTAAAATACGAATATAGTAAATGTAGTAATAGACCACTATAATAATATACTAATATACTACTACGCTAACATACGAATATCATGATACACCAATATACTAATGTACTCATGCACCAACGTACTAATATATTCGCGCAATCTTCAACTATGCAAATATACTATTGTTCGAATACATTACTGTATTATATTAAGCTCAAAATGTACGAACCAATCAGTATATTCACATATCAAAACTATTTCTAATACTGATACTAATACCAGCACTTCTGTGAATAATAAACAGATACTAAAACCAGCATTCAGACTGATACTAATATTAACACGAGTACCATTACTGACATTGACGTCGACACTGGCACTAACACCAGCACGAACATAATCACGAGTTCATATTTACTATTATTGATATGTATACTTTTATTCAATACTAATACTAATACTGATGCTAATACTAATACTAAATACCAATACCAATACTAGTACTAAAGCAATACCCATCCTAATATCAATACTACCACAAAACTATTACTCATATGAACACTGATACCAGGATTAGGACTACTACGAACAATGACAGCAGTACTAAGAATAGAACCAAGAACAATACATATTAATCCTAACACTAATACTAGTACTAATACTAGCTACTAATTCTAATACTCATACTCATACCAATACTAATGTCACCACTACTGCTGCTACTACTACTGCTACTACTACGACTACTACTACTACTACTACTACTACTACACATACTTAATACTAAAACTAATACTGATACTCATACTAGTCACTAATACTAATACTAATACTCATACTAATACTAATACCAATACTAATGCTACCACTACTACTACTGTGCGACAACTATTGCTAGTACGACGACTACTACTATTAACATCAGTTTACATACTTAATGCTAATACTCAGAGTAATACTAATTCGAATACTGTTACTAATACTAAACATCCTAATATCAATACTACCACAAAACTAATACTAATGCTAACACTGATACAAGAATTAAGATCTACAAACAGTAATAGTGGTACGAAGAGCAGAATTGAGATTAAGATTGGGACTAGGAGCGCTGCATGCATGTGAAGAAATTTCCAAAAATTGCAAACCATCTAAAAGAACATTTTGGAATTGAGTTTGGGAGAAGTGTCTGTCGCCTATCCGTTGACAGATCCTGCCTGGGGACGCACGCCACCCTTCCCCTTCCCCACGACGGTCTGTCATGGGGGGGGGTGAGCATATATATATATATATATATATATATATATAACAGTATCCCTCAAAGGAAGCACATAATAATATCCCTTAGAGCCTTGGAGGATCCCTTAACCCTGAGGCTCCATGTAGCCATCTGGTATATACTTAGGCCTTAATTTGTGCCTATATAGGGAGCCCTTTAAGGCTTAAGTCTCTACCATAAAGGTACATGGAGCCTTTGGGAGGGCTGCCTAAGGGTCCAAAGGACCCAATAATCAGGTACTCGTTTTTAGGATAGTAGTTATGTAGGTGTAGGTTAGGATTTCGGAGACTATATGAATATTGGGTTCTTGGACCCAGAAGTTTTTTTGCTGCGGGGTTTAGGGCTTTAAGGGCTTTTACGGGCTTTAGGGTTTAGGGGTTTAGGGGTTTAGGGGTCTTGGGTTAAGGGTTTGGGTCCTAGTGTGTATGTCCTAGTGTGTATGGGTTTATGGGGGTAGGGCATTAGGGCTGCGGGGTTCAGGGCTTAAAGGGTTTTAGGGCTTAGGGCGTAGGGTTCAGGGCTCTGGGTTCTATTAAACCGACTGTGAGGTTCATGCACAGGTTCTTGGAAGGGGTTCTTAGGAACCTGTTTGGGTTTGATGGTCTCTAACAGTCCGGTATTTTGCAGTGTAGCATAGACGGGGGGTTTAAGGCTAGGGTTGAGGTTCGATGTAGGCTGTAATTCCTTGAGTAAGGGGTATTGGGCCCTCTGGGCTGAGCTTGATCTCTCACTTAGTAGCTGAGTAGGTAACCTTTAGCCTTTTGAGGAAAAGGTTGACCTTCTTTGAGCTAGGGTAGTCCACCCCTAAGCTCAAATGCAATTTGCCGTTTGGACAGAGAAAAGGATACTGAAAAGGATCAGGGGCCTTGGTAAGTAGGGTCATAAGTAAGGCAGCTATAGCTATATCAACTAACCCTAAACCCCAAAACCCTAAACCCTAAACTTAAACCCCAAAACCCTAAACCAACCCCAAACCCTGAACCCTAAACCCGAAACCGTATAACCCAAATTAAGATACTTGCAACCCGACTTACGATAAGTTTCATGATCCTCGAAGTAGGAAGCAGCAGGGTTCAGCAGCTGAAGGCTGAAGAATAGCCTGCCGCATTTTGGGCTTAGTAGCTGAGTAACAACACTTTACGTTTTTTTGGATAATACCACCCACTATAAAACTAACTACCCACTATAAAATACTATAGAACTAAAAGTGTACACTTTTGTGGGCCTATGAACTCAGCAACTAAGTCTGGGCGTCCTACGGTTGATGATGTAAATCCTTCTTACCTTAATGACAATTAGACTAGGGGAATTATGGTATATACCTTATTATAGGTGGGAAATGCAGGAATCATTTTTCATCAGCAAGATTGTGAAGCCTCTTTCAAAAAAAAACGTTGCGGCATACCATTCTTTCAGATCTGTGAGGGACGAATTTCCGGCCCGCTATGGTACTTAGACAATCGGGGGGTAGTATGTCGACTACCAGTAGAGTTAGAAAAGCCCTCCTTCACTCCATCCGATAAATAACTCTACTGACACCTCCTAGCAGCCATACTAGCTCATCACGCTGAACATACAGTAGCAGCCAGAAAGCTGGAACATTGGTATCCCCATGCCGTTAAAGTATGAGGGGATCCTAACTCTAATCCTCCTAAAGCCATGTTCCAACTTTCTGGGGTTCGCTGTACGGGACTCCACCCTGTGAGCACAACCAGAAACCTTGAACTGAGAACCCAGAAGCCTGAACACTAGGGACCCAAAAAGCACGTAAGCGTAAGCATTTCATGGGGATATCCCTACCTTATTGGCCTTCCTTTTAAGGGGGTTTAATTATATGGGATATCCCTACCCTTGTTTTTGCTTTTGTGCTTTTTCGGGGCCCTAGAACACCTGGACATCCATAACCCCTTTACAAAGCACCACAACTAAGCAGCTATAGGAACTTTCGACATTTCCATCTTGGAGATTTCTGGTGGTGCACCTTTGACGCAGACTGGTGAGCGCGTATTACGTGCGTTGTTGTGGGGTTGCTGTCATAGTTTAGGGGAGTTTAGGTACTGCATAGGCAGCAATACTAAACATCCCGTGTATTGAGGTTCCTGCTTCGTGTCACTAAACTTACTAAACCCTAAACCCTAAACCCAAGCCCTAATAGAGCAAAGCTAAGAGCCCTGGCCCGCAATGCACTCGACACCAAGCTTTGGGCGCAGTCTCAAAAAAGCAACACCTACGATGCCCAGTAGTACCCTTACTCCCTTTTTGGAGTCCTAGGTTCCTTATCAAGGTACCCAATACCAAAAAGGGAGCCCTTTTATTCCTAGGTTACTGGGGCATCCTAGACACACGAGAGCTGTAAACGCTTCACGCTACGAAGATTGTATTAATGCAGGTTTAAGTTTTAGGGTTTGGGATTGAACTGGTGATTGAGGGTACTTGGGCGTTTTTCGCAAAAAATCCAGATGCCCCCCAAGTAAATGCGGGGTCCCCCAAGTACAGCAGCATATCTTACGCAGGTGAATTTTGACCCCAAAGTAGTTCCTTTTGGGGATTACCTTATAGAATTCTAAAGTAAGAACCCACAAAAGGAACTGCTTTGCGGCCTATGGTTATAGACTCGCAAGCAGCTGATAACATGTCGACTGTTGCTCTATGAATGAATTCCCAAGTGTCCTTGCTAGTGATGATACTGGCCACGCACTCGGAGGGGGTTTGGGGTTTCGGGCTTTAGGGTACCCAGAGACTCCAATACCCCTTAATTAAGGAATATTCCTTAAGTCATATTAAGGATCCTACTGTAAATTAAGGTATATTCCTTAATTAAGGGATATTGGAGTCTCTGGGGATACTGGTGTTGTAAGCCGTCTTGTCGGTAACCCACAAACGTCGCAGGCTTTACGCGTCCATGAGAAGCCCTTAGTCTCATGCACCTTCAACGAAGCCCTTGTCAACCTGCTGGCATTCTTCAGCATTAGACGATTTAGTCCCCAAACCTCTCAGCTTGTGTACTTTGATCCTGTATGGCGGGGAGGCCAAATTTCAGCACTCAACCGTGCTGGCTACGGTTTGGGGCTCGGGCGTGAGATTGTTTAGAATCGAGGTTGTGACCTTGCGGTGGGGATTGAAGCCGTAACCCTAAGCCTAAACCCGATAAAGCCAAACAAACTAAACCCTATGAGGGCGCGTTCTGGGCGAAATGCAGTGTCGTCCGGCCAGCGAAAATTCCATTCTTCCCGTTCCCAGCCCTCGTCTGGACTTCACCCAAGGGGAAGACAGACGGGGTACACGGCATGAGCGACATGTAACACACCATGAAGTGCTTTACCCTGCAGCACCTTTCTGCGAGCCGCACCGTGTATCACGGGGGCTGTGCTGTGGATTTCTCGGCAATGCGGAGAGGAGGACTACCAGTTCTGTCTTTCTTCGGGCCGAGCACCATAGAAGGCCGCCTCAACGCGGCGACCGCGGTGCAAGGTGGTTCGAGGACGGGTCAGTTGAAGTGAAACAGGAACAGCCACAACAGAAAGCACGATGCTTCAGGACCACTGCGAGGCGGTGGAGGCAGAAGAGGTGTGGATCGAGACACCGCACCTTGCATGGTGTTTGGACGAGCTCGAGATCACCGATGCCGACACCTGGTCCGATGCTTGATGAGATTGGGATTGAATCCTGCCTACCTGGGCGAGTCTTGGAGCCGCGACGGTTTGCGGTTGATGATCCTTTTGGCATCTTTCATGCGTGCCCTACTCGGGACCCCTGAGACACAAGCCTTAAATGAGCCCCAAATCCTCGACCTGGAAGCCCAAAAGAGACGTAGCTCGCTAAATTAGGGTGCGGTTTTGCGTTCTTTTTAGAAGGGTGCCGCACGATATTGGGGACCTGCATGGACCTGCCCTAAGGGTCCTAACAAATTGGGGAACCTCAAAATTGAGCTACTATTTGCTTAAGAACCCCCAAAAAATAAAAAATATATTCCTTATGGGGGTAATATAGGGATTATTATTTTATTTTTTGGGGGTTTCTTAAGCAAATAGCTACTATTTGCTTAAGACCCCCCAAAAAATAAAAAATTATAATCCCTATATTATCCCTATAAGGAATATATTTTTTATTTTTTGGGGGTTCTTAAGCAAACAGTAGATAGTAGTGAGGGTTTTTGAGACCCCAAAGAGACCCAAGGGGCCTTTCTAGGAGATTCCGGACCTTCCTAGGGAGATACCTGGACCCTTAGGGCGAAGTGGGACCCTACTTCAGAGCTACCCATGCGGCGGCCGTTAAAGGAACCACCCTTTATGGATCCCTGTAAAGGCACCCTTAACGCACCCCGCATGGATCCCTTTGGAGGAACCTCTAAACCCTAAATCGTCTAAAGGAGCCCTTAAAGGACCCCGCTGTGACCAGGTCTTTGAAGTCAAGGCGACCAACGGCGACACCTCCCTGGGTGGCGAGGAGATGCGTCCGCGTGGAGGGTTTAGGGTGTAGGGTTTAGGGTTCTTAGGGTTCATACGGTTGATGATATCCTGCATGATCCATAATAACAAGGAATATACCATATTTCGCATAGTTTAGGGTTCTTAAGATGATGCAGGTTTCATATCATCAGCCGTAGGGGCTTATAGGGCTTACAGGGTATTTAGCAGGCTTATGGGGTTTGCGGTTTTGTGGTGTAGGGTTTACCCTAACCCTGAACCCAGCTCTTTTAATTATTAGGGTTCTCAGTATCGCTAGTAACCGCTTGTATATCATTTATGGGGTTCAGGGCCTAGGGTGTAGGGTTCGGCGTTTAGATTTTAGGGCATTATAGTATAGGGTTGGGCTCTATGGTAAGTCAGCTCCCCAAAGTCTATCCTAAGCATCCATCATCCTAGTTTTAAACCTTGACCTAAACCCCAAACCCTGAATCCAAGCACCCATCGTCCTCAGCTTCTTATACCATGACAGATGCCTCAAATCTTAACTGGAAGCCTGGCTGCCGAGACGGTCCAATACCTCGTAATTACAGAATATATCTTAAACAGTATGATTCAGACCATTTTCATTATCTGAAGGCTTTGGGGCTCACTGGATGACTAAACTATGGGTTATTACACGTACATATGTCTGATATATGAAATATGTGTGTGTGTATGTATATATATATATGTATGTACATAATGTATACTGGTATAGGTGAGTATGTCTATAAGCGTTGTAGCTGTGTCGAAAAGGCCAAACCGAGCCTACTGTGTAGGTAACTTTGCTACGCTGAACCCCTAAACCATAAACCCTAAACCCTAAAATCCAAGCTCCCTAATGTAGGAAGCTGATGAAGAAACCCCGAGCCCATAGCCCCCCAAGTATTATGATTCATATACAGAACCCGAATAAAGGCCCAAGGTTTCTTAATCAGGTTCCTACATTACCCCCTAAACCCCTAAACCCTAAACCCTTAAACCCTAAACCGCTAAACCCCTAAACCCCTAAACCCTAAACCTTTGGGAAGCTTGAAGCTTACAGTAGAAGCCCAAAAGTTGGAAACCCCAGAGCCTCCATCCTTAAGAGTAATGTATAGGGAATCCCAGCACTATTTGGCCTTAATCAGGTTTCCAACTTTATGGGGTTTACTGTACTAGGATGCCCAGTAGTACCCTTATTCCCTTTTGTAGTCCTAGGTTCCTTATAAAGTTACCCAATACCAAAAAGAGAGGCCTTTTTATTCTTAGGTTACTGGGTATCCTAGGTTTCCAACTTTATGGGGTTTACTGCAACCGTCCGAAAGGACTTCGACCATGCCATCGTCAAGTACCTCGTGGACGAGTTCAAGAAGTCCCAGGGTGGGGTTTAGGTTTTAGGGCTTAGGGTTTCGGGTTTAAGGCTTAGGGTTTCGGGTTTTAGGGCTTACCTTAACCCTGAAGGACCTACCCTTTTAAGGACTCATATAAGGAAATCATAATAAGGAGCCCTAAAAAAGGTAGGTTATTCCGGGTTAAGGTAGGGTTTATGGGCTTAGGGTATAGGGGTTAGGGGTGCCAGAGCTTGAGATTAATCTGGGGGCTTGAAGAGATACCAACACTTTTTTATTGAGGGGGGGGGGGCTCCTTATTATGATTACGGTATAATATACCACCCCAAACCGCATTAACACCATTCAGGCCCCTACATTAGGTAGTTCCGGTTCCTGTTCCCAGAGAGCCCCATACCCCTTAAGTAAGGAATGTGGCTTAAATTATATAGGGCTTCATATGATAATTCGAGCTATATTCCTAGAGATCCCTTTAAGGAACCTCTAGGCCTTAGGCTATATTACTTAAGTAAGGGGTATTGGGCTCTCTGGGTGGTAGGATCTTGTTTGGGTTCTCTTTAGAGTTCATGCTGGGGTTACCCAAGGGCTCTATTTGGGCATCCGCCTGTGTGGTGAAGTGTCGGATTTGCTTGTATATATTTATATACATATACATATACACGTATACATATATGTCTGCATCTTATGGACCGATATCGTTTTTGCATAATTTGTTCGAGATCTACTACAGCGGCAGACATCTATGGTATTGGGCTTAACTCTGGTTTACGCCTAAACCCACAGTTTTAAGACTATGCACGCGGCAGACATCCACTTGCGCGAGTCCCAGAGCTTTCTAGTTTGGGGTTTACGGGTTTAGGGGCTAGGGTTTAGGGTGTAGGGGTCAGAGCCTAGGGTCTAGGAGTTATGGTTCATTGGGTTTTACGGTTCAGGGTTTTAGGGTGTGAGAGTTCGAGTTGCGATTTACTCAGGGGCGCCTTTCGGGCGCCCATTACCCAGAGACTCCAATACCCCTTAATTAAGGCATATTCCTGAAATCATATTAAGGATCCTACTATAATTTAAGGTATATTCCTTAATTAGGGGGTATTGGGCTCTCTGGGTGGTGGAAGGAAGCCAAGCGGACCGGCTGCCGTGCAATACAGGTCACAAAGATTAGGGCTTAGGGTTTAGGGGCCCGGAAGTACTACTTAGAGCAGGACCTGCTCGACGCCATTCGTGCATTGAGCGATTCGATCCACGCCTTTGGCGAAGACCGCGCGGAAGCCACTGGGGCCGAGGTGCTGCCTCAGTCGCAGTACCTCACCCCAAGGCTCCATGTACCCATATAGTCTATACTTAGGCCGTAAAGTACCTATATAGGGAGCAAGGAATAAAGCTTAAATCATAATATGAAGCCCTATATAATTTAAGCCATATTCCTTAATTAAGGGTATTGGGCTCTCTGGGTCCAGCGCCGAGTTCTTATCAAGCTCCGTCGTGAACTCGCCCAGTCGCTTCAGCTCCAGGTCCAGAAGGTGGCCAGCATCTTGCGGGTTTAGGGTATAGGGTTTAGGGTTTAGGCTTTAGGGTTGTAGGGTTTAGGGTTTTAGGTTTGGGGTTATTTGTGGTTGACGGTTTAGTACCCAGAGGCTCCAATATCCCTTATTTAAGGAATATATCTTAAATCATATAATAGGATCCCTAACATGATTTACGGAATATTCCTTAATCAAGGAATGTTGGAGTCTCTGGGCAGCTCTTCTTGGGGTTTGGGTGCCCTGAAGTCTCTACCGGAAACCGTAAACCCGAAACCTTACCATGGGCTTGACATGATCGTGGTCCGAGACAGGCTTTCGAGTCCCCTGTGTTTAGGCCCTGGCGCGAAGGACTTTTACCCCTTAGGGTTTTTGGGTTTAGGGGGTTCAGGGGTTTAGGGTTCAGGGTTGAGTTTGACCCCGAACCCTGGACGCGGACAAACTCTGACCTTCAGGCCTGAAATACAAGGTTTTTCCAGGGTTCTCCGAAAGTTGTTGTAAGGTTCCTTGCGCATGATAGCAGTTCTGTAAGGATTCTACGCGAGACCGAGGGATCTGGTCCTCCACGATGCGACAGATAATGCCAACCTTGAAACTGCTCCTCTAAACTCTCAGCCTAAACGCTAAACCACAATCCTTAAAGCCTTAACCGTAAACTCTCAACCTTGAAGCCGAAAAACCGTTCTAGAACAAAGAACTTTTGTTGTACAGCCGTCTAGAACCCTAAACCCTAAACTCTAAGAGCCCCTGAAGCCTCAAGATAGTCGCGTCTGCACAGGCATCGACCTCGGTGCGGACAAGCCCCTGGGCAAGATAGTTTATAGTTGCTATAGGGTTCCTTTAAAGGGTTCTTAAAAAGGGTCCGATTGGGGTTACTATATAAGGGGTATTATGGGGGTTTAACATGGGGCAAGATGGCTTTGTTTGAAGAGTTTCTAGAAAGGGTTTCCGGGGTTTAGGGTAGGGTTTTATGGGGCTTAGTCTCGGGGCCATTAATAGAATAGGGTTTGGGGAGAATAACCCTAAAACCCTACACCTTTAATTGTCCATACTTGTCACCAGACCTCCTTCCTTAAGGCTCCATGTACCCATATAGTACGCGCAGGTCGCAACCCTACACGGAGCACGCACACGAGACCGGACCGGGAGTTTTCCACCGAACAGCAACAGAAGTACTGTACTATACAAGTTCCTTCTTCGGCGTCGTTAAAAAACCTTCGTGGTATGTCATGCGTGATAGCTGGTAGCTCTGAGCTGCTCGGCTTGAGCATCAGAGCATCGATACTTTACTGTACAATACTTTACACAGCTATGCTTCGGACATGCGCAGAACAGAACTGCACTTGATCATA